GCAGACAGCCAATGCTTGGTTTGTGGTTGCTAACTCAACTTGAAGAGCTTTGGCACAGCAACACATGAATGCGTCACCAAGGCGGGTGACTAGTTCTGCAAGTTTACATTCTATCACTTGTGTGCACAGCTGCTAATGTACTACAAGTGCACAGATGTGTAAGGGAGATAAAATCTCAGCAAATTTTCATGTAATTTTAACCAGTATATGATGTTAAGGTGCTTATAACTAATAATGTCTGCACAATTATGTTCTAAGAAATCAATAGACTTTACAGACAACCTTCCTATGCGCTGCTCGTGTTGTAAATTTTACCCTTTTCTTTCTTACTACAATATCCTCACAATGGTAGTTTTATATATTAAAAATTACTCTTTCGGCAGAGGTGGTTTCAGGCAAGATAAATAAATTAATAAATAAAAAGTAGTACAACTCGAGTTATCGCCTCTATATTCATAAGAACTAAAACTGTTCTTTGCACTCAGTGGAATGCCTATTTAATGGCTTTCTATTGCTGTTTCTTACATCGCTCTCTCATTTTTTTCTTTTTATGTCTCCTAGAATATTTATATTTGAAAAACAAAATAAAAAAATCTCTCCATTTATTATAATTGTTCTACCTTTTTAAAAACAAAAGAAAACAAAACAAAAAACAGTGGATTATGTACACACATAGAAAATATAAGTAAGTATTTATTTTCAAGACTTTAGAAATTAAGTTTCTATACTCTGCACTTTGAATTGGATAAGCTAAACAACTTTAATTTTGCACATTTTAGCATTCCTTTACAATATGTTTCCATCTTAAATATCTGAAGAAATAGTACAATGTCATGCATCAAAGCATAGCAAATTTACAACCTCTTAAATGTAATCTCAGAAAATGATTGCTAAAGGTTTTTGCCAAAAATCTGAGCACTGACAGACTGTCCTTCCAAGTTTTTATCTGAGGTTTGTAAGCCAATGAATAAAGTCTAAAATTACACTTCTGATGTTTCAAAATACCAACAACTGCATTGACCATGAAAGACAATGGAAGTGCCAGGATCACAGAGCTCATGGTAAATATTTCTTTTAGTCAAAGTTTGATTATTAAAAGAGAAGGAAAATAAAGAGAATCACAGATCAAAAGCTTCATCTGGAAAGATTTAGTGGATTCATCTCACTTAACTTTAGCACTTCACAGATACTGCACTTTAGTGCCTGTAAGTTACAGATCAATGCTGCCTGCAGGAAAGGATAAGGTTTGGATACAAAGAAAAGCACAGAAGCTTTGTGTGCTTTGCTCTGCAGTTCTAGACACAAATGCCTGTCACCCTCTCCCCCAGGTAAGAAATACTGACATATATTTTTAAAAGGTTCTTCAAACTGCTGAACTACCAGATAACAATTCAATAAACTTTCTCATTGTAGTCTAGGCTACACTTCTGTTCAGTGATATGAGTGGTTCCAGTGCACTATTAGAGAAGTGCCAAAGCTGGTGCGAGATGAGGACAGAGAAGAAGGCATAAGCAAAGCAGGAAGGCAGTGTTATAGATATCAGGTCAAATCAGGCCTAATGTGTAATTTCATCCTGATTATTTCTGAAGGAAAATCCTTCCTTTTTGCACCACTCTGACTACACAAAGACATTAGGGCAAGAAAGGTCCACCTTTGCAGGTATAAAGCTAAAGGCACAGTTGGATAAATCAAGGTTCAAGTTTTTATGTGTGTGGTTTGGTTAGCCATGGTGAAAGATAAAGTTTATGCTGATTAAAAAAATAATGCAAAGTACAAATAGTAACACAAAAAAGTTTGGAATTGTTATATCCTTCTAAAAAAAGAAATACATTTTAGTAGAGGCTATTAATGGGAAACTCCACTGTCTCTCTGAACAATGTTTTATGCTCTTCTGTTGGATCTGGAAAAACAATTACAAACCTTATTGGTTACCCTGATAAAATGTAAAATTTCTTAGCATGAAATCATGTGAAAAACTTGACTGTACCAATTGTACTTGCTATCATGCATTCAGGGACTTATGAATGGCATCACATTTTCTTCTGATAGCTCAAAGAGGACAGCTGCAATGTGAAGGCCATATTATGAGCCTTTAAGAACATAATCTCAGCATGAATCCAGATACCAAACCTGCTCTGAAGTAATAGTTTGCATTTATCCATATAAAGAAGAAATCCACAGAAATTGTGAATGTACCAGCATATTCTCAATGATTTACATGAGAAGCTAGATTAAAAGGTTTTCAAAATTCATTTACTAATTGATTAATGAAAAAAAGGAAACAGAAGGCCAAGAAACAACTGAAAACAGCAAACATAAAAGCAGCTTCTGTTTTTCTCCTGAATGGGTGGCCATACTTTTTAAGAAAGTACCAAATCAAATGACAACTTTTCATTTCAATTTCTCAGAGCAAATGTAATATTCAACATCAGATTACCTTAGTCTCCATAATTTGAAATAATGAGCTGTTTTATTATATGAAATACATTCTTTTATGTAATAAAAGAATAATATGAATTCTTCCAACATTTAGAGTTCAGTATTAAACTTCTTTCTTCCAAGATTAAAATAAATGATAAAGGAAGTAAGATTAACCGTAAATATAAAACCTTTATGTAAAAAGTATGCAAAATGCTATAGTTACTTCAAAATCAAAGGGTATGAATCCAGCTGATATCACAAGGAGATAAAAATGAAAAATGACAACAACAAAAAAACAAAAAACCCACCCACCCAGCCTCAAACTCTTAACATTTCATTAAAAAATGAGTTAATGCAATCTGAGACCACACAGGCTGGAATACCTTATATCAGAAGTGTATACTTACTGAAACATGGAAAGACAGCATTGACACTGGTGCTTGTACTTTCAGTGTACTTAAAACATTAGTTTATATTAACTATGAATATCTTAGGTTTATCTATTCAAGAATTCTACTGTTCTAACTTGAAAACAAGGGTAAAAGGGTAATTCCTAACATGAATTGACAGTTTTATATGCACAATGATTAAACAAGACTGATAGTGATCATATTACGTAACAGAATACAGTGAACACTTATCACCGTCATTCATATCTTTTCAAAATACATAAATTAAGGATATAAACACTGCATATTACTTACATTTAAAAATAGCCCGCCTAAATGAAATCATGAAATTATGATATTGCTGCATATTTTATATAGCTTTCTTTATTAAGATGGCAGAGAAATTTACTTGAAGACTAACTCTTTGTAAACTAAGTTGTCCTATTGTGTACAAGCCATTCTATGATTCTATGTGTGTTAATACTCAGTCCTGATATTGAAATTTAATTATATGATGTAGATAAAGACATTAGAAATAAGAACTATCAAATGATCACTTTTGATGTACCAACTGATGATCCCACTATGTTAATGACACCTGAAAATTACTCTGGGGAAGCACGCTCAATTACTCTCTTCTGTAACAACACTATTTTAATCGCTGTACACCGAACTTCAGAAGCATGACAATTCTGAAAGTTAAATGTGAAAACTATTCTAGGAGGATATTGCATCAGATGACCACCCAGTGTGATTCAGCAAAGAAAGTAAACACATTAAGAACTCTTGTTCTTTTTACTTCAATTTAAGGGGATTCGAATCTGAGATCTGATCTCAGGAAAATGACAGTAGTTTTAGCTTAAGTCAAGGCTCACTTAGTCTCAGCTGTCAGTGAAATTATTTCAGTTTTATTCTAATAAAAATGGTTTTCTAACTGGTTAGCACAGACAAACTGTGTTGGATCAGTTCAAAAAATGAGTTCTGCCGTAAAAATCTAAGAAGAGAGTTTGGGGCAACAGCAGTGAAAGAAGATGGGGTAAAGAATTTTGGAGGTGTAGTGAGAAGACTTCAAGAGGGATGTGAATAGTCCGGTTTCTGTAGAAATAATGGTATCAGAATGAGTGACAAGGATACTTTAGGAGAATTGCAAGTTCCTTGAAAGGCATCTCCCCATCTTCTCAGTCTATTGATATAACGACTTCAAGATGACCATTCTGAACCAGTAAGAGGTTATTTAGGTTCCATTACCTTGTGTAAGTAGTTTGTCTTGCTTTTTCTCACATTCATAATTTTTGATTCGTTAATGTTTTCTCGTTTTGCAAATCTTTGCCAAAACATTCAGTAACTCTGGGAGAGCATTTAATCACTCCTCACTGTCAGCTTTTGTTTTTATATCTTCACTATTCTCTAGCTTCAGCAAACCTTCCATATTACTATTCACGCTTTTCCAGATTTGTTCTGGAAAAATTTGGAATTCCATAGGTAAATTTCATTTATTTCTATCCTCTTTTACAGACATTTAATTTACAGAAGGATTTTCTCCCTTACTCCACAGTAGATTAGTCTCTCAATATTGTTAAATGCAAGATCTTTACAAAAGCCTTTTGGAAATCTCCATATAATGTGTTGACTCCTGAAATACAAGATTTTGCACACTTCTAGATGTGAAGCACTCTTCTTCCAGAAGCACTCTGACTTCTTGCTTGGATGAAACTCAGGTGTGTTTATACAGAAATATGATTCTGGATGAAACCTAAGTGATTGCCATCTCGTTTCCTTTCCTCATCCTGACTTTCTCCAATAGTTCCCTGTCCGGAGAACCCAGAATTGGATTTAGTACTCCAGATGTGACCTCACCAGGGCAGAGTAGAGGGGGCAGATCACCTCCCTCCACCTGCTGGCAACACTTTGTTAATGGATACCAGGATAGCCCAGACACCTCTGGCCTTCTTGCCCACAAGGGCTCACTACTGGCTCATGGTCAGCCTGTTTAGCAAACTGTTGTACATCAAGACATCTATGTTCAGGTTCTCCATGGTGCCTGACAGATATCATCACGTGTGTTTCTCAGAACGACACAGGAAAAGAAAAGAAATAAAAAAATCAAACCTAAACATTTTTTCCTATGGTTTAAGGCTAAGGAGAGAGAAAATAGACTTTATGTTAGTTATGCTAAAACAGAAAGATTACCTCACGATGATTTAGAAGTCTCTCCAAATCTGCTGCCATTTGATTCTTGACACGCAGCAAAGCTGTCTTTTCTTTATTTAAAAGACTGGCAAAAAAAGAGGATAGGAAATACAGTAATAGCAACAGATAATCTCTTTTAATCTTGTATTCAGGTTGAAACATGCATTTTCTAAAGCTAAATATTGGCAACAATGAAAATCTGCTCAAGTAATTGTATCAGATGATCCTGCTCTGTCTTTAAGCACAGGAATTTTTATAAAAGGACCTAAATGCAGCCATGTATACAAAATCTTATTCAGTCAAGTAATTCTATTCAATTTTTTTTTAATTCTCTGAAGGGTAATTTAAAAATTATCAGAACCTTCTATTATTATCTATTGGTTTATTCTTAGCAAAAGGAGTTCATTTCAAAAGCTATGCAAGGTTTGTTGTACCTCTGATTTCAATATCAAAATTCCTTTTTCTACCTACATCACTAGTACAGCAGACATCACCCTTTCAAAAATCACCTTTTTTGACATTACTGTATTTAAAATTCCGAAAATAAATACAAGAAATATCAAGATGCAGCTTCCACTTTCAGCTCTGTAGTTTCAGCAGAAATTTCAAATGTGTTTTTTTATTTGATATGACAAGAGACTCAAAAGAATCAAGTCTTTCTTATGAACAGCGCGAAAACTATTTTAGCATAAATACATGCAATATCAAATTTAGCTTTAATTGTCCTTTTTTAAACAATTATGTAATCTGAACATTTTATTTTGTGTACACATTCTGATTCTAGGTAGCAATTCACCTAATATAGCTAAATATATTTCCACAATTATCTCAAACAACAGTTTCCAATAATAAACTTCACACTAACGCATACATAATGTCTGGACATAATCTATTTTCTTAAAATAGACGGAATTTTTCTTAGTAGAACAATGTTGTACCATTACTGTGACTTAACTAAATAGGTTCTGCAATATAAACTGCAATATACATCAGCAGCTATGCAAAATTCAACTCTGCATATGGAATGAAAACATACAGTACTGAATCAGATTATGAGTTCAAAAGCAAATGTATTAAAATTTTAGAAATTGAGTGGAGCAATTATGTATATTGCAAACACAATTATTTAGTATTCCCAATATTTGATCTAGAAATTATCAGCAAAATAAATCAACATTTTCTTTAGTTGTATGCGTAACATCTGCTCGTTTCAAGTAAACATCATTCTCTGTTCCAGACATTTTCTGGAATTTTCTTACAAGATTTGTATTGGAGACTTCGGCTGTCAATTTCTTCTGGCATTTATCAATACTCTGAAATTTTGCTTACTATGATCAGATTGCTTAGCTGCCTTGCTCAGTTACTTAAAAGGGCAATAGTAAAATTTATGAAAAACTACAAGGATATTATACTATTTTCAAGAGTTGTATTTTCTATGACATTTTTAATCATAATAAAATTGCTGTACTGTTTTTTCTTGGGTTAATTTGTTGTAATTTACTGATGCAAAAGTTTTTCTTGGATTTTCTCAGAGCAGAAACCAATTATTTTAGACAATGACTCACAAACTTATTAGAGAAGCAATAACGAAAAGTTCCTGTACGACTTAAATAGTGTACTGAATAAGCACATACGAAAGTGTTCATGACTAACCAGAAATTCATGTTCAAGGTTTAATTTCATCCACAGAGTAAAACCTATTCTAGTTATACCAGTTGTATTTTCTGAAAGAATGACAAAACCAACCCATGTGGAGCACTCTCAGCATTATTTTGATTTTCTTTGTTTATGATAAAATACAGGAATTACTCTGCTATATCATTCAGTAGCACTTTAAGTGTTTTCTGTTGTATGTAAAAATGCTATGAATGCAGAATTACCAAAATACACTTCAGATTTAGTAGTTCTGCAAGAATTATGCTTTTTCATCATTGCTGTCAGAAGGGAATAATTCATACACTTCTGCAAGAGTACTGCAAAAGAGGCATATATACAATTAACATGTTAATAAATTCACGCCTATAATGACCACATAAAACTTCCTGAAAGTTCACTTTGGGGAAGAAGATAATTTCAGTCCCTGTAAAGAAAATGTTCTAACAAGTATCTTGGATATAAGAGGTCAATGAGGTTCTAACTTTAAGCCATCTGACATGTCCATCAACAAGCAGTTTAAACTAATCCAGTTTTAATTTGTGGTGTAAGAAAGCAGACAGCAGTTCCTTTAAAGTTCATTTCAGATGACTTAAGTGAAACCTGCTGTTCAAAGGACAGCCTTTTCTATCCCTAACCATGTGGGTAGAAAAATTGTGACTTTGCAAAAAGATCATTCTACTAATCTGGATTAATGACAGGCAGGTCCTTGACCAATCAGATCTTTTTTTGTAACTGGGTGACCTACCTGGTGGAAGATGGAAAGGCTGTTGATGTAGTCTACTTAGGCTTCAACAAAGCCTTTAACACTGTCTCCCACAGAATACGGCTGGAGAAGCTGGCAGCCCATAGCTTCTCTTTGTTGAGTAAAGAACTGGCTGGAGGACTGGACCCAGGAGTACTGGTGAATGGAGTTAAATCCAGCTGGCTACAGGCCACAAGGGATGTTCCCAAGGGTCGGTGCTGGGGCCTGTCCTCTCCAATATCTTTACTGACGACCTGGATGGGAGCATTGAGTGCACCTTCAGTAAGTTGGCAGTTGACACTAAGTTGGCAGGAAATGTCAATCTGCTCAGGGGTAGGAAGGCCCTACAGAGAGATCTGGACAGGCTGGGTCTCAGGGCTGAGGCCTATGGGATGAAGTTCAGTAAGACCCAGTGCTGGGTCCTACACTTTGGCTGGAGCTTTGGCCCTAGTCAATGCTACAGGCTTGGGATGGGGTGGCTGTAAAACTGTGAGGAAGAAATGGACCTAGGAGTGTCGGTCAACACATGGCTAAACGTGAGCCAGCAGTGTGCCCAGGTGGCCAAGAAAGCCAATGGCATCTTAGTACCAGAAATAGCTTTGCCAGCAAGAATAGGGAGGCAACTCTCCCTCTGTGCTCAGCTTGGTGAGTCTACATCTTGAGTACTGTGCGCAGTTTTGGACCTCTCACTACAAGAAAGACACTGAAGCTCTGTAGAGTGTCCAGAGAAGGGCACTGAAGATGTGAGGGCTCTGGAGCACAGGTCTTATGGGAAGTGGCTGAAGGAGATGGGGATGTTTAGTCTAGAGGAGAAGAGTGGATCTTAACGCTTTCTACAGCTCTGAAAGGAAGCTGTGGTTGTGTGGCCGTCAGCCTCTTCTAACAGTGACAGGACTAGAGGGAATGTCCTCAAGTTACGGCAGGGGAGCTCATGCTTCTTCTGCGTGCTTAGGCTTGAAGAAGAAAAGAGAACGTCTACAAGGGCATGCACTTGCATTCCACTACACCTTCAAGACCTCGTCAGATATGAATTCAGGCATGAGAAATATGGAATACGCTTGTCTCATACCTACACATGGCACACTGCAACTATTGCCTTGTTTTGGTTTGCTTTCCTTGTGATCCACAGGCCATTTAGCGTGGATATCATAAGAATATGGTAATTTGAATTACCATAAGAATAAGGTAATGTGTTTTTTTTTCCGGAAAAAGAAGACTAACATTTCCTAGTCTCAGATTTTAAAGCATTAAATTTAAATTTGGGCAATTAAAACATCTTTTAAATCTCTGGTCTAAGAATATCAGCTATTGGCATACTCAGAAGTTTCTATTATTAAATGTTCTGAATAATATGTTTGTGCTGAACACACTAAATAAACACTGTTTTAATATTGCTGGTTTTTATTATTGCTTCTATTCAGTTTGACAAAAAGTAGGTTCCTTTTCTGTAGAACTGTAGATCCCAAACGTTTATGAAATAAGGATTGTACCTTCATGTTTGTTACTTTCAAGTTACAGTACAATGAAGATGAAAATTTAAGTTCAATCTTGGATTATTTCTTTGCATCTTATTATCATATGCAAATACAAAAAAAAAAAAAATCAAATTAAAAAATAGTATATAAGATGGCTTTGTACACAAAACTAAATCTATAATGTATGCCCCTTCTCTACAAATGATGATGAGCTCAGAGCAGGCAGCGAGTTTTGAACCTTGAAGTAGTTTTTAAAATTCATGCAGTTAGATATAAAAAAGTTCTTAAATAAAAGTTATTTAGAGAATATATGAAAAATTTCTGAGCTCTCATTATGCAGCCACAGCACAATAACCACAGATCAAATTTTTGAAGACATTTAGAAGTCTGCTGTTTGATGATTTCAACTGGATTACTTCAGGTGGCTTAAGAACTCTAGTCTGTGTAGTGTCCAAATTGAAAAAGGATTTCTTTTTTAAGTAGTTAGTAAACAAAAAAAATCCAGCTATATATATATATATATATATATAAGTTGTACTTATATAAATTGTAATAAGAGTCAGTAAACATACATTTGTAGAAAAAAGAAACAGTTGCATAACTGTTGTTTCACAAGTAGCTTACTTTACTGTTTGGATAGATGATGCACAGTTAACAGAACGGTAACATTCTCACAAAAAGCTCATTGCTCATTCTATGATGGGAAAAAGTCAACTAACACTGTATGCTGAATTTATAATGTTTGGAACGCGATTAGGGAACCCAAAACGCAGAACTTCTTAGCAAAATCCTTGTACTGCTTCTGGTTTTGCCACACAGTTAGGCTTTTGAGGAGTGCTTTTGGATCAGCAAACCACTTTTAAAATCAACCATTGGTATGGAGAAATTTGAGTAAATTTAAAATAAATACTCTCTTTATGAATGAAGTCTTGTGTAATGTCTCCAGTTATTTATATACCTAGCTGTTTCAGCACAAAACTATGTACCAAAACTACAATTACTTCACTACACACACAAGAATGAAATTCACAGTCTTGTTTGCCCACAGCATGACATAGTTACAAGGCATTTCTTTTCAAAAGGAGAGCTAAATGTAGTGTTTTCATTTCTGGTTAAAGAACTGCATGCTAGAGAGCTTTCTTTATTATATGAAAGAGTCATCCACATACACACAACTGCTCTTACTAACCATCACTATTTACTTTTATTAATAAGTGCTATTTGAGCTAACAAATAAGAGGTTACTTTATAGAGTATTTTGAAATACGTGGATCTATAAATTCATCCTGTAGACGCCTTGTCATTCAAGACCTGAGAATTTCTGCAGGTATGCGGTTCACAAGTATACAAGGTGGCCTCCTCCCAGTCACACCTCAGCTCCACTGCAGAATGCCAGCACAGAGTCAGTGTCCTGCCCAGAAGAATTCAGTGGCAGATGGGGAAGAGAGTGGTAATGGAGATATAGATGGGCAACATTTTACAGGGTTTTGACTGTCCCTCAGTAATCTCTCATCTTTGAATGGTAATCAACTCACACATGATATCAAGCAGTGCTTAAGCAGTTAAGCACACAACTATTGACTACTTTCAGGCTTTGATTCAGTTTGGTACATATTTTGACCCTCTCTTTTCAACTTACCAACTATTGACACAAACAACCTTGCACACTATTTAAATAATTACACAATATTTCCCATGTAAGGAAGAAATTTAGATACAGGGGTTGTGAAAGACGGCTTTGGCTCAAGAATTTGGCTTATGGATATGGGCACAACGCTACTGCGGTTCAAGTGAACTACAGAGATCACAGAAGGAAACTTGGATGGACCTGCAGGACTTCTCAAGAGTCATAACTAAAGGATCTGCCCGAATGTCCCACTCCTCTTGAGGAAAAAACTGATATCAGAAATCACGCTTTCTTAGAACAACCTGAAATTTCATGCTGAAATGGATTTATAAATATCTACTTCTGACTGAGTTCTGAGATACAGAGAAGCCAGGTTTCATAATTAATATTTAGTTTTTGCACTATTTGCTTTTCTAATAGCACCAACATTATCTGTAGAATTTAGGTCCTTCCTGAGCAGCATTAATTCTCTGAACTCACTCTTTCAAAAATATTCCACAGACAAACCAATAAAATTATGTTTAACAGACTAAGTAAGATTGATGTGAGTAATGGTCTAAATCTTTTAATTCATCAGAGGTCTACCTGGTACATATTTTGTAGGGTTTATCATTAATTTACTTTAAAAATATTCAGATTAAGTTCTGTGAGAGCTGAGAGACAGCATTCTGCAAAATAATCTGAAGTAACCAAAGTGATATTTTAAATCTGTCATCAGTAGTTTCAAAAGGCTACTGTCATGATAATTGATTGCTGGAATGTAGTATTTCTCTCTTCCTCTATCTTTTATGCCAGTTAGAGGTACGGGAAAGCCTGTGATCAGTATTATCAATTTTATATCAGATTATGATTTCTCAGCTAACAATTTAGGACATTTGGTTTAAATGTACAAAAAAAACCCCAAACAACACAGATGTTTCTAGTAATTTCACTGGACAATGAAATTATGGCAAAGATAAAACTGTGACATGAGAATATCAGATATTTCTGTTTTAAAGAAAAAAATGGAAACTATGGGAAAAAAACTTCTTACCAAAACATCTAAGTGTGAAGTGTCACCTTTCTGCTACAAAACCATTGATGGTGAAAATAGTTTCTTGTCAGGCTATAATTTCATTCAAGGAAAGACTGAGTTGTGGTGAGCATACCTTGGCTCACCACAGTAGAGTACTGCTTGTCTATTTACTCACTATGTGGTATGGATATATTTTCTTTAAGAAGCCAAAAATTCCCTCTATAGCTAATGAAGATTAACAAGCATCTCTCACAAAAGGCTCACTCCATCCAAAATCTGAATTACTTCCTCTGTGAGCTACTAAGAAAACCTGACATGGCCAAGTTCCTAATTTAAATGCCTAAATTTGTAGGCTAAATTTAGGAACAATATCTGGGCAGCATTTGTGACAAACCGTAAAAGCTTAAGAGAATCAATGATGATAATGCAAGTTCTTATGTCTTAATGGCACAAAACAGACACTTTCAGAAAACTGATCAATCTACTATTAAGCAAATATGAAGACTTCATTTAAAGAAATCTAAAACTGAAAAATACTCAAATACATGCATTTTCTTTTCCCTCCCAGCTACTGACAGACTTTTGGATAACTACATGAATAGTTAAAAAAAAGTTTTCAGGTCACCTTGTAAGATATTGTTCTGTTAACATCGGTGTCTCAAAGCTTGCTGGAGACACAGACGGACTTGTTCAAGTCCAGGCAAGTTCTGTGCAGGGGCTGAGAAATCCTTTGTCTGGGAGACACAGATGGACAAGGCCAGGGGTAAGGAGAGAGAGATGAGCTGCAGCTAAATAGCTGTGAAGTGCTCTTTTGTTTGCACTTATCTCAGGATGATGGCCATCCCAGGGGGTACTCAATGACTCTTGCTCAAGGCCCATCTTGTCCCGTAGGCAGAACAAGTTGGATTAAAGAGGAATCGAAAACCATGAGGATAGGTTTTCTGGCAACAGGTTCCTGAAGAACAGGATTTCTGACAACAGATTCCTCAAGAAGTGATGCCTACATGCTGAAGTAGAAGAGGTCTGCCATCGGATTCGTCACACTACGGAATTGTTGCATGTTGATGAACTCTCCTGGGCCTGCTGCCTGAGCTGCTTCCTCCCGCATTGGCTCTGCGGCTGCCTGCTGCTACCTGCTTGCTGCCCAAGTCCGGCCACGCTGCTGCTACCCCTCCCTCCCCCCCATCTCCCGCTGCTTCTGCCTCGGACCTTCGAAACGTCTTGAAACGGGACGCTGCTGGATCCTGGTGGTGAGTATCCCCGCTTTACACAATTCTTGCTTCTTTCCTATCTTTTCTATCGCCCTCCTTCCCTTCCCCGTCTCCTTGATTAGGATTTGTAATAAACTGGATGGACTAACATATGAACCGTTATTTCTTAATCTCACGCCGAGTATACAGATATTAAAAGAACCTCATCTCCCACCTATAAATTGGAGCGAGACACACCTCTACCTGAAAATTTTATTTGTTGTTGACTAATTCTTTATTTTATTCACAAATGGAAGATAAGACCTTACATATGTAGTTATTACTGTGATTTTTCATCTTCTGGAAAAGGACAATTTACATATCATATATTGTAATATATCAACACTTGTTTTCTGAAAGAAAAATAAATGATCTATTAATAATAAGCCAGCAAAAGATACCTTGAGAGAGACTATGAGTGAAGACTTCATTTATAAATGTGTTTGTGTATAGATTTATTTGGATAAAAGAATTTTTAGGTATTCTTCCTAAAGGCTTAGAAAACCCTATTCCAAACCATCCTAATATTCTGAATAGATTTGGTATGAAACAGCCTCAAGTTGAACTAGGTGAAGTTTAGATTGGATATTAGGAAAAGTTAATAAAATAAAGGGTGGTTAAGCATTGGAACAGTCTGGAGTCGTCATCCCTGGAAATATTAAAGGAAGTTGTGGACACGGTGCTTAAGGACATGATTTAGTGGTGAACTTGGTAGCATTAGGTTGGTGGTCTTAAGGGTCTTCTCCATCTAAGCGGCTGGACTTAGTCAGTGATGGAATGTCTATATCTGCTACTTTACTCACAATAAAACAGTTTTCTAATGAAACATACAGAAATGGTTTTACTTTCAGTTTAAAATAAATGAACAGCAAATTTCATTACCTGACATCTTTTTCAAGTTCTGCAATGTGTTCCTTCTGTACACTTATTTGAGAATCTCTCTGTTGCACAGTTTCAATGAGGTATTTGTATGGCTGTTGTACTTGACTCAATAAAGAATTTGCTCTGTCAAGCTGACAAAGAAAAAAATTACTAATTTTTTTACTAATAAGGACAGTAACTTATTACTGAATCACAATTATTACCAGTTGCATAGTAATATAAAAACCAAACCCATTCTCTCAAAAAATGCCACAATCTATCTCCAAATTAGTATCTAGTAAATTACCTTCTTCCTTGTATTCTAATTTTTCTATATTTTCACTACAATCATGCTACCACTATCTATATTCTCCTAATGTGCATTTTCAAGAGTTTTAATTTAACAGCTTTCACTGATGGAAGAAAAAAATGAGAATAAACAAAGCCTCTGTTTGTTCACCTTACTGACCACATGTGACATTTGGAATGGAATTGAATCTAAATAAAAATGCAGTAATAATGGAAGAGAAGTCCCATTTTCTTTTATCGATAACTGTATAGAAACATCCAATAGGATGTTTAACGGAGTAGTTTAAAAGACTTCTCATTCCTATAACGTAGGAAACAAAGCCTTCCTAGTCTTACATCCTACACAAATAAAGATCACTAGGAATAAAAACCAAATATTAGCTTATGCTGTTACAAACCATATAACAACATAATTCACTAAATACAGAATTCGTAATTTACTAAATTACTAATTTACTAATAGATAATTAAGTTCAAACGTCAAGATTTAGCAGTTTAATCTGCTGGAATACGCACAAGTCAAGAACATCAACTAGATTTAAAAGAAAATATACCAATTTTTTTAAATTTTGATGTGAACATGCCTAATGGGAAGCTTAACCATTTCCAATGTATTTCTTCAATTAATTAAAAATTTCTGAATAGATAAACAATCTGCATTTGCCAAATCGTTGTTCCAAGCAAGCAGGAAAAAAAGACCCTACAATAACAACAAAAAACCCCCACCATCCTATTAAACTAGCCTAAGGAGTAATTTCAGGACTTTAAGGTCAGATTTTTCTCTCAGTCCCCATTTTCAAAACATGAGGCTGTTGCCTGAGTTCTTTACTTTCTTCCTCTGATTCCCTTATATTTTATTGCAGTTTTTCTTCTGTTCTCTTAGTCAAATGTGCAAAGAACTTATAATCCAATGGTTTGTATTTACTAAAAAAAGACATTTAGACAAAACTGTCATCATTCATCTTTGTGACCTTGCTAAAAGGGGAGTTAACTTCACATTTTAAAAAAGTGGAAAGAGAGAAAGTAGCACTGCACATCTTAAAAGTCATATAAATCTTTAAGTATTACTTAAATACATTATTTAGGGAAGTTACTCTAGTCTGCAGAGAATTAAAAATAAAAGGCGATCATCTTTTTGATGAAATAAATTACCTTCAGTAAATTGATAATCAACAACAAAATAAATTAAGCTATTAGGTTTCTGAGAGTGGAAGGTATCAAAAAAGATCTATATCGGGAAGACAACAGAAGGAGTCTTTACATGACAAAGAGATAATTTTGAGACATGGAATATCAATCTCCAGGCTGGCCTAAAATTTCAGCATAAAACCCTAGGACTGCCTTTAAAGAAGAAACAAAATCCAACATTTCTTGTTCAGACAGTCACATTCCAGATAACCTAAAAAACTTCAAAAGCTGCTTGGTGTGAAGTTCCTCAGTATTTTCAAGTACTTTGGTGGGAAATAACAAGTCTTGCAAGCTTGTTTTGATGCTGCTAAACTCATTGGTTCTTTTGCTAATTTTACTAGCTAGAATGTATCACATTTAGTAAAAAAAAGGCTGTCCCTTTCCATCATGGTGTTTTGCTATTTTTATTCTATGCACTTCGAAGAGATCATCATCATTAAACTGGAATACATTAAGCACCAAATGCATGTATTGGATAAATTTTTACTTATACATACATATGTATATGAATTAACCATTATCCTTGAGTAAAAAGCATTATTTTTTTTGTAAGCAACTCTGATTTCTACCTTAACGTACAAGATTCTTACATATTCAGTCTTTTAGGATCTGAGACTTGAAGACCCCATACAGTAAAATAAAGCCTGAAATGGTATAATGGGATCAACTGATTAGTTTTCTTCAGCAGCTGAACTTTTACATTGGGTTCCAACTTCCAAGCAAGCACGCTGCTTAGCATAGTTCCATCAAATGAATGAATCTAAGGAGGAGTGTGTATTTTCTTCTTGGTTACATGAAACTTTTTGAGGAGATCAACACAAAAGCTTTTCTATATAGCTCCCTTTCTATAAGAACTTAGCAATACTTCTTTGAGGATACTCCATAAAAAGAATCTTACAAAGAACACTTACTGTAGTTTTCATAATCTCCCTCCTTTCATATAGTTTTAGAAAGTTTGTATCATAACTACTACAGAACAATCCCAATACTTAATCTGAGTTCAAAACAAAAGTTGGTCCAATCATTTTTGTCATCAACATTCAATCTGTGTTCTAGATTCCACGTAGATGTCTTAACTAACTGCCAATGAAAAGAATAATGGACTACCTGAGCTTGATGTAGATTGGTTTGGTCTCTGAAACAATCAATAAATAAAGCAGGTACCATCAAGTAAAAAGTCATCCTAGCTCAGGGGATGCAGTAGAAATAGCAAACTGAATTTTAAGAAATAAAAATCATAAAGATAACGACAACTTGCATAAGATATGAAATACAGATAATTTACAAGAGAAGTTAGTTTTGTGGGAAAAGTTGATACTAGTAGACAAATTACTGTTAATAAGCAGCAAATAAACCCTAGAAACACACAACCCACAATTGCAGAGATACAATAAAACTGAATATAATTTTGAAGAAAACACAATTTTCAGTAATGCTTTTGTCCTCTGCTTGAAAAGTCAGATCGTTAGTTTGTACACAAGAACAGCGAGCTACTTCCTAGCCCATAAATAAGTGTAAAAATTCTGTATGTATATTGAGTGGCAAGCAGAATGGTTGAAATAATACATATGAAACTAAAAATCCAATAATCATACGTTAAAAAAATAAAAATGAAGCATTTACACATTAATGCCAAATATGAATTAAATAGAAAGCAAGTTTTAAAAGATTTATTATTTAACCTCGTAAGAACTTAACAGGCTTAGTAGCTGCTGTGCATTAGCTAAAATCTGTAAGATATTTAATTTATTACTGAGTCATATCCTGATTTAAAATGCACAATTACATTATAAAAGATCAAGAAAAGGCTACATAACATCCCATGAAAATTCTTCTATTCTTCCTAAAAAAAAAAAAAAAAGGGTTGAAGTTGTTCTAATGGAATTTTGCAGGAATTTGAATGAAAGTCTGTAATTCTAAATCTTTCATTACTGCTCTAGAAACAAATGTAAAACTGCAGCAGGTAAGAAAAAAGTCTACAAAAGTGGAAGCTAGACATTTAAATGGAGAATAAAGCACAGATTTTATTAATGATTAAGAAAACTATCAAGGATAACACTGGATTCACCAATGCCCCTGAATCTTCAAGTCAAGAACATATGGCAGATATGTTTTACTCATTCCTAACATGTATCTGGAAGAATGTATTAAAAAAAAAAAAATCTAGTATTAGCTAAAAATAAATAAATAAACATTCACTGTTGACATGTATTTGATTAAAATTAAATTAGATATACGTGATTACCTATATAAAAACAAACACGTAAGTACACATGTATTTTTAAACATGCAGACGATTCCAATATCTGTATGTGAAGTACTTACATTGAATCACAGAATCACAAGTTTGGAAAGGGCCTACAAGATCATCTAAGTCCAACCGTCCTCCCATCACCATTGCTACCACAAGCACTAAACCATATCTCATAGCTCCTCATCCAGGCGCCTCTTGAACACTGCCAGGGACGGCGACTCCACCACCTCCCTGGGCAGCCATTCCAGTGCCTGACCACTCTCTGAGAGAAGAAGTTTCTCCTCATGTCTAACCTAAATCTCCTCTGGCACAACTTGTGGCCACTTCCTCAGGTCCTGTTTGTTGCCTAGGAGAAGAGGCCAAATCCCTCCTCATCACAGCCTCCTTACATGAAGCTGTAGAGTGCAATGAGGTCTCCTCTGAGCTTCTTCTCCAGACTGAACAATCCCAGCTCTCAACCTCTCCTTAGAAGACCTGTGCTCCAGACCCCTCATCAGTTTCACTGCCCTTCTCTGGACACATTCCAGGGCCTTGATGTCTTTCTCGTAGTGAGGGGCCCAAAACTGAACACAGTGCTCAAGGTGTGGCCTCATCAGTGCAGAATACAGGGGGATGATTACCTTCTTGCTCCTGCTGGCTACACCATTTGTAATGCAGGCCAGGGTAGTTATCCTAATTTATAATTACTGTTAAAATAAAAACAAAAAAACAAAAAAAAAAAACTACCACATATCCAAAGCAGGTAGCCTTGAAATTTCATATGGTGGCACTACCTGACAGCAAATCAAGACAGAGTTCCTTGGTTGCTAAGAGAAACTGGTAAGATAATCTTAAAAATATTTCAAAAAATTAGTTCAGCTTAATTGAGGAAGATTGCAAAATGATCATTTTACAATGTTTATTTGACAAGTCAGTGTAATATGCAATTTCAGCTATTACGTCCAGATGTATTATGAAATTTAACACATTATAATACCTCAAAAAAATTAAACTTTTTTTTTTTAACAGCTTATATCAAACGTTCCTTAGATTTGTATATTTGAAAGACTCAAAGTAGAAGAGGATTTAGAAAAATATCTTCAAATGTGATTTAAGGGCAGAGCTTTGTAAAATATAATGAAATATTTACTGAACAAACTAGTTTGGCTAGCTGGTTTTCTGTTCAGAAATCAGAACGTTGTCTGTCTGGTCTACATTCCTGTTTAGCCTACAAAGTAATCCCGTTTTTGATCTTCATTTCAAAATACAATATAAACTTCTTTCATAACATTCACCATGGAGTTTTGGTTAATTATGAGGCTTTTTTTTTATTAAAAAAAACATCAAATAGATAATAAACAGTGTTTAGAAAATATTCCATTTTATGTACAGCTGTTCCACTATGTTTATAGTTTCTACACTTTTTTTTTTAGCAATAATTTACCTCTTGTGAAATCTGTGTTACTTGTTCCTTCTGATGTTCCAGATCTTTTACAAGCAACGAGTTTTGCTTTTCTAGCTGCAGTAGCCTTCTTGCCAAGTGAACACTGTGCCAAGAAAAACAAGCTCAAGTTGATTTTTTTCAAACTATGCTAAATAAATTCTCACAATTGTACTTCAAAACTTGATTGCCTTAATTTTATACTAATACATAAACTATACAGTGAGACCATGCATAATCAAAGCTAACAATGAAAACATTACAGACTTCAACAGCACTGAAATAGCATTCCTGTAGTGACACCATATTAATATTTCTTAAAAAGTCATTATTTATATTATTTGTAAAATACTTTATAATTGCAATAATCATGTCAGGATATTTCAACTAATCATGAATATTTACTTTTTTTAAGCTACTTTAAGGAATCACCATAAGTGCCATCTGCTTAAGTCAGTTTTAAAAATACATACAACGTATATCTTGTAGAAAAGCAACAAAAAATGAAATACTTGATCATTTTCTAAACAGACAAAATCATTTTGTCTGACATCTACTGTGCTAGTTAAATGTCATTACCACTTTATTATTATTATTTTTTAAATAAAAAAATAGATCCACAAAAGAATTATTCAGCTGTGTAAGTTGAATAAATTCTTGCATATTTCATGTCCAATATTAGAAGACTCCATCATCAATTCAATAGCATAGTTCCATAGACAGTAATGGGAAGATTTCACATACCTGGAAAGAGGCTTTGGAATTATATCTAACCCAGTCTTTCAATTTGTTATTACAGTCACTTAGCCCTATTCAATAGACAGGAGAACCTGAACATATTCCACTAAAACAGACTCTTGGATGCGCTGAAATGTACTCAACTTCACTGTCTGTACTAATCAGAATTGATTACAATGGCTGGATACAAAGTCTCTGTCCTAAGCCTATGGTCAGATAGCTAAATTTGTATTTAGATATTTATATTTATCCTGTAACAAGTCCTGTCATCTTTGCAGCATTCAGCAGCTTGGTAACTGACTGTAAAAAGATATACAACTCAAGAAAGTATCACTGTATGCCTCCATATTTAAGTAATCTAGCTACAAATCAACATACTTATCCCTTTACGTGCCTTAACCACTGAAATAACAGCTCTATACAACAATCTATTGCTTCAGTCAAATGCATGCCATTTTTTTCCAAAACATCTACATTGAAGAAAAGAGAGGAGTCACTCCAGTTCAGATCTTAGAATTAATGTATACCTTCCATACACTGAAAATGTGTACCTAAGTCAACAAATAAAAAAATAACAAGCTTTGGACTATGATGCTGAAGATGTAAGAGTATAAGTGGTTTAGAGCTGACCAACTGGGAGGTTTTATTTGTTTTTAAGTTGAGGATTAAAGTTAGATGTAAAGCTAGATCAGTATGTATTCTTTCTGAGAAAATTTGAGAAGTCATATTCACCACCTCCCCCTCTGTAAAAATGAACATACTTCTAGATTTGGTAGAACTGTTGATTTTAATTTCTTGATATTCTGTGTTACAATCCTACTCTCACACAGATTCTCTTTCACCTTTTGTGAGACAAATGACCTGAAATTGGCAATAGCACTCACTAGAATGTTGGTTCTCTCTCAGTTCCTCCAGAAAGAGTATCAGACTGTATAAACATTAACTGAGAAAAACAGCCTTCCCCAAGCTAGTTTTTCTGATTTTAGCTTACGAGTTATGAGATGTGCATGAGGATCCCATCTAGCAAAAAAACAGAAGACAAACACTTCTGTAATATATCTAGTCAGGGATCTTACATTAGACATTTTACATCTTACATTAATGCTTGGAGCGCAAGGGGAAACAGCGATACCTTCCCATTGCAACATGGGGAATGTAGAATCATAGAAATCATTAAAGTTGCAAAAAAAAAATAATCAAGCCCAACTGTCAACCTATCATAACCACACGCACTAACCCATGTCCTTAAGTGTCACATCTATACATATGTAGCCCATCATACTTATTCCACTTACAACTGTTCAGTGAACTTGATCGGAATGTGCAAGGATTTAAAGATAAGCCCAAGTAACTATGTTAAGTATGCTTTTCGGTTTGTTTTTTTTTCAAGTAGCTTAAATTTAAAACATAAAAAGGACAAAGGTCCTTGAATGTGTAAATCTAAACTGAACCTAATATGGTGAGGAAAAAAAAAGAAAACTCAGAAAACTTCTGAAATTTTAAGAAGTTCTCAGAAATTGGCATTTCCAAAAATAAAGTTCTGGACATTTTTTTATTCCACTGTAACAGAAACTAAACTCAAGAATGTGGTAATCCCAAACAGTTTTTAGGCACAGTGGAGGAGTTAATTTGGGCCAACAACCATTGCTAGTAAGTCATTCATGTGCAGCTAACCTACACTGAGAATTCAGTTTTGTGAAAGTGTGCTACTACATGCTATTTCATCTCAATGCTCGAGAATGTTCCCAGAAATACTTAATTTACTAGTATGGGTGTATGGCACTTACATGCAAATACATGAGATAGTTGTTTCTGGCAAGTAAAAGCAAAAAAGTATAGACACTGTCATGCTTGAATAGACAGCTTTGCCTTTTTTCTAGAATTCTACTTAAGAGGGCTGCTCCAAAAGCAACGCACCTTTTTTTTATTATATTGTCTCACAGCGACAGAGGCAAATGGTGGTATGGCAGAAGAACACTGCCATCAATATTAAGTTCCATTTTGTTCCCACACAACAGATGGCAGCAGAGGGGCAGTCTGACAAAATGGAGTCTGATGTGGGAGTGCATATAAAGCAAAGGTGTGGAACCAAATTCCTCCACAAGGAAAAAAAAAAATAAAAATCATAGCCACTGACATTAATCGACACTTGCTGAATGTTTACAGAGATCAAACACTGGATTTGAGCACAGTTTCAGCAGTGATGACAGTGACACTAGGTCACCTCCAAAATGATGGCTGATGAAACAGTATGATGAGGCATACAAATGCTAAAGAGCAAATTAAGCTATGCCAAACTTAAGTACTGCATAAAATCTTCATGATCCTTACAGCAATATGTAACTCAATACACGACAGGTCTGAATCTGATAGACAATACTGACAACATTTACTAAATTGGAAAAGGTCTTAAGCAATTGAATTTGCTCTGAGCAGGGTGCTGGACTCCACTAAGTTCCACATGTTCCTTTCAGCCTAAATCATCCCACCATTACATGATTTTGATCTTAGGTTATGTTTTCCTTTTATATTATTTGGGTATATTTTAAACAACTGCAGAGTATTTTTTTTGCTGTCACAGTTGAAAAATAGTATAAATCATGTCAAATATTGTAGATAAACCTACATTCCCTATCCTTCACAATGAGCTGTAGCCTTTATGCACACAGTGAACTATTTGAATGTCACCATTATTTCTTAAAGACAATGTGTTGTATAAATTTATTATTTAAAAATGATTATGACCAAAAGGTACGTTATTTGGTCTACATGTTATTTTAATCTATTAATCAAATGGTATCAGAGAAAACTGAAAAACGTAACTGAAATCAAATGCTGTGTATGTAAAGATAAAACGATGCTCTTAAACTTTACTGTTCTTAATTTCCTGAAAGATATGTATTAAATACAGTACGTTATCTTCATCCCATTTCTGTATTCTTAAGTAATTAAGAAACTAGTCATTTTAGTTAACATAAAGAGGTTTTTAAGATTAAACATGCTGTATCTCTCTTCATCTACTACTTTGTCTTGAATGAGTAAATTCAGAAAAGGCACTTGTTTACCTTTGCTTTAGTCGTCTTTTGGCTGTTGTAGGAACATTAGCACCATACCCATATGAGAAGAGAACTCTTTCAGCTTCAACTTCATTTTCCACTGCAGAAAATTGCAGAAAGGTACTATTAGTAAGGTGTCCTTGGAAGAAAATAATTAGAATGCAAGAGCTTATTAAGTTACACATATGCCTTTTTTTCCTAGAACCTACATTTTCAGGTGTGAACTGCTATAGCCTCTGGTGCTTCAGTGGAAGAGTTTTGTTTACTATTAGCACTGACACAGTGCCATACATTCATGTTATGATACAGGCAGACTTCTCACTTTAAAAAAAACAATTTATATTAAGAAATAATACAAAAGCAAGATAAAAATTCAGTGACCTTTCATATTCATATGCATGGTAACAAAATAGTAGTAGTAGAAATTTACAGTAAAAAGTTGGTTGGTGATTTTTTTCCCATAAATAATTCATTTTTTGTGTATTCATGAGGCAGCAGAGGAAGATAAAATCAGGTAGTGTTTAAGACAAATAGAAATAAGCAAGTCCATGGGATCAGAAGAGACAAATTCAAGGTTGCTGAGGAAACTGATGTCACTGTGTCTCAATCATTTTTGAAAGACTGTCGCATTCAAGTATTTCTTATTGTCTGCAGAAAACAGATACTGTACCCGTCTTCAAGGATGGCTAGAATGAATGAGAAACTAGTCAGCCTCATACCAGCCTCTCAAATTCCAAGCATGGACAAATAGGTGGTTAGAACAGCTAGCAAAAAGAAATCATGTCTGACTAATTTAATACTCTTTTGTGATTAAACAAATGGTCACACCTTGACTAGGGTGAAGACAAAACCTTTGTACAGTCTCTCATAGCCAAGTCTCTCTTAAAGCCAAGCAAGGTATGGACTAGGACCTTTGGACTCAAATAATGGTCATTAGTCATACAGAGTCCAACTGATAGTCATTTACTATTGGAATCTCTCATGTTAATACCATTCAAAATCTTTACTAAAAATGCAGACAGTAGGATATTGTGCACCTTCAGAATGTTTCATAAAGCTAGCAGCTTAGGGAAGTGGTACGACAGATCAACAGGGGGACAGAGCTGCTAGTCAGAGGGACCTAAAAAGGCTGGAGAAAAAAAAGTGTACGAAAAATAACATTAAGTTTAAGCAAAAGCAAATACAGAATCTCACATCTGGGACCTAGATGCTAACACAGTTTGGGGATTGACTGACTATAAAACATTTTGCAGAAAAAGATCCAAGGGTTCTAGAGGACAAGCTGATCACAAATTGCCTTGTAGCAAAGGACAACTACATCCAAGGCTGTATTAGCAAGAGCACAGATGGATGGTCGAAGAAGGCAATCCTCCCCATCTACTCAGTATTTCTGAGGCCACATGTGGCTATGCTTAGTTTTGGGCTTCCTGGTGCACAAAAGATGTTGATGTATTGGAGGAAGTCCAGCAGAGAGTCACCAGGACAATGAGAGCACTAGAGCATGTGACATACAAGTTCAAGCTTAGAAGAGATCTTCTGTCCCACTACCAGATGGGAAACTACAGTAAAAACAGGAGACAGACTCTTCTCAGAAGTGTACGGTGACTGGGACAAGCGGCAATCCTTCTTTTAGGTAACAAGTTCAATACTGTATTTCTCAGAAAAACGTCAAGGAAATCCTACCCTATAAATGAGTATCTACCAGTAATATACACATAAAAGTCATATCAGGAAAACAACATAGCATGTACCAACCCAAAATAATCTCTACCAGGATATGCTTGTGTTACCTTTTTTTTCTGGGCTCTTCACCTGACTCTGCGGTATACGATAAACATTTACTAATTAGGGACACACTCATTAATTTCATTCTTAAAGTGTGATTGAGAGGATACAGATAGCCTTAATTATTTTTCTTAAAAAGATGCCAACCAGTAAAAAACAAGGAAGTCATAGAATCACCATGGCTGGAAAAGACCTCCAAAATCATCCAGTCCGACTGTCCACCAGTATGTTTCTACTAAACCACTTCCCCTAGTACAATATCTAAATGTTTCTGAAACAATCTCAGGGACGGTGATTCCACCAGCTCCCTGGGCAGCCCTGTCCAGCACCTGACCACTCTTTCAGAGAAGAAATTTTTCATATCATCCAACCTGAATATCCCCTGCTATAACTTGAGGCCATTCCCTCCAGTCCTATCACTGGTTACATGACAGAAGAAGCCAAGGCCCACCTTACCACAACTTCCTATCAGTCACAGAGAGCAATATGAAGTGCTCTGTGAGCCTCTTCTCCAGACTGAACAATCCCAGCTCTCTCAGTAACTCCACATAAGACCAGTGCACCAGATCCCTCATAGCGTCTGCCCTGCTCTGGACACGCTCCAGGGCCACGATGTCTTTCTTGTAGTCTTGGGCCCAAACCTGAACACAGTACTTGAGGTGCGGCCTCACCAGAGCGAAGTACATAGGGATGATCACTTCCCTGCTCCTGCTGGCAACACTATTTCTGATACTAGCCAGGATGCCACTGGCCTACTTGGCTATCTTGAATGTTCTGACTTAATAGGGACCTCTAAGTTACAATCCCCCTGCTATAGGCAGGGACACCTCCTTCTTGACCAGTGGCTCAAAGCCCCATGCAGCCTGGCCATGAATGCCTCCAGGGAGGGGGAATCCTCTGGGCAACCTGTTCCACTGTGTCACAATAAAGAATTTCTTCCTAATATCTAGTTCAAATCTATCTTCTTCCAGTTTAAGGCCATTTCCCCTTGCCTTGTTGCTGCATGTCCTTATAAAAAGTCCCTCCCCAGCTTTCCTGTAGGCCCCCTTCAGGTACTGGAAGGCCACTATAAGATCTCCCCAGAGCCTTCTCTTCTCCAGGCGTAAGAGACCCAGTTCCCTCTTCCTGCCCCTGGCGGGGGGGTGCTCCAGCCCTCTGATCATCTTTGTGGCCCTCCTGTGGACATGCTCCAAATCTCCATGTCCTTCATGCGTTGGGATACTCAGATCAAATAATCAAAATAAAATACCTAGTCTAAAACTAAAATTTTCCAATGTGAATATTTTACATTGAAAAAGAAAAAGAGAGAAATGCCAAGAAAGCTTATTGTAATTCACATGGAATATGTTATTCATGCACTTCAGCAAGGGCGTTGGACTAGAAGATCTCAAGAGGTCCCTTCCAACCCCTACAATTCTGGGATCCTGCAAAATCATTCAGTTGCTGTAAGGAGTGGCTATATAAATTCTTGATCGTTTCCTGAAGAGGCTGTTTCATGTTACTTCGATATTTATAAAGTGAAGCATACTGATGAGGGAATAAACGATAAAAATGCAGTGATCCCTTCCACATTTACATTCTCTGAAGTAAGATCATATAGTTACATGACAAAATCCACCTCACATATACAAATACAAAGCTTTCTAAGAGGTCCACAAAATTTGATGATCAACCCCTCAAACTCCAACACTCCTAAACAACAGAAACAACAGTGAAACAACAGAGGCTTCATAACCCACAGAAAGGGAAAAAGACTTATCACACTGAAATGTGAAGACACGATCACAAGACTAAAAAGCAAAATCTTGTTCTCATTATAGCTTATAGGAAATTCCCACTGTCTTCCACATTGTGCATCAGCCTATATAACATTCTTTGAAAGACTGGAAAATTTCTAGAATGCCTTAAATTTGAAAATCACGTAGTTTTCCTTCATTCAAATATTTTTTTGACCTTCTGTTATGACATGTAAATGCCAGGTCTTAATTTAGGAAGTAGGAGAAAGTATGTCTGTATTCTCCTTCAAATATTTTGAAAAGAAGTAAGGCTTTTACTTTCTCTGATTTACCTCAGAACTTCAACTTAGTGCTGGAATTCTGTCATAAGTATTACTTCTAACTTTCAATGTCAAAGATACAATAGTAAGAATAAGCAATTATATTAGTTATATAAAATAAGCAATATATTGAAATAATCAGAACACCATAGATTAGTTTACGTTTGAAAAGACCTCAAAGATCATCGAGTCCAACCACAACCTAACCATACTACCCAAACTCTAACAACCCTCTGCTAAAGCATGTGCCGGACTACCACATCCAAACTGTTTTTAAGCACATCCAGGGATGGTGACTCAACCACCTCCCTAGGGAGCCTATTCCAGTGCTTAACAACTCTTTATGTAAAGAATTGTTTCCTGATATCCAATCTAAACTTACCCTGGTGCAACTTGAGGCCATTTCCCCTCATCCTGTCACCAGCGAGAAGAAAACCAACCCCACTCTCGCTGTAAGCACCTTTCAGATATTGGAAGAGAGCAATAAGGTCTCCCCTCAGCCTCCTTTTCCCAGACTAAACATCCCCAGTTCCTTCAGTCACTTCTTGTTGGGCATATTCTCCAAGCCCTTCACAAGCCTTGTTGCCCCTCTTTGGACCTGCTCCAGCACCTCAATGTCCTTTCTGTACTGAGGTGCCCAAAACTGAACACAGTACTTGAGGTAAGGCCTCACCAGTGCCGAGTACAGGGGCAGGATGACTTCCCTAATCTACTCACCACACGATTCCTCATACAAGCCTCATACATGGCCACCTGGGCTCACTGATGACTTATATTCAGCTGACTGTCCATCAGTACACCAAGGTTCCTTTCCATCAGGCAGCTTTCCAGCCACTCCTTCCCAAACCTGTAGGGTTGCCTGGAGTTGTTGTGACCAAAATGCAGGACCCGACACTTGGCACTGTTGAAACAGTTAACCTTGGCCCAACGATCCAGTCTATCCAGGTCCCTCTGTAGTGCCTTTCTCCCCTCTGGCAGCTTAACACTCCCAACTTGGTGTCATCTGCAAACTTACTGAGGGTGCATTTCAATCCCCTAATTGAGATCATTATTAAAGATATTAAACAGAAGCAGCCCCAGTACTGAGCCTTGGGGGACACTGTTTGTGACTAGCCACCAACTAGATTTAACTCCATTGACCACAACTCTTTGGGCCCAGCCATCCCCAGTCAATACTTCACTCAGCAGAGTATACACCTATCCAAACCATGGGCAGCCAGTTTCTCCATGAGAATGCTGTGGGGGACAGTGTGAAAAGCTTTACTGAAGTCCAGGCAGACCACATCAACAGCCTTACTTTCATCCACTAAGCAGGTCACCTTGTCCTAAGATGAAATCAGGTCTGTCAAACAGGATCTACCATTTGTAAACCCATGCTGACTGGTCCTGATCCCCTGGTTGACCTTTAACTGCTCCCAAGATTATCCATTCCATAACCTTCCCAGGCGCTGAGCTGAGACTGATAGGACTATAGCTACCAGAATCATCTTTCCAGCCCTTTCTAAAGATAAGCATCACATTTGCCAGTCTCCATTTCCCCAACACATTTCCGGTTAGCCAAGACTGCCAAAGAATGATGGAGTGTGGCTTGGCAACCACATCGGCCAACACCCTCAGCACTTTCTTCACAGTGATAACAATCCTCCTCCCTGGGTACTCATGTGAATAGGTGGCTTATGGTTTCTCGTTGTCTGAATGGCCTGCGTGATTCACATATCTGACTCTTCTCCATCTCTAAGGCTTTTTCTAGACAGGGAGCATGGATGCAGAGCAGTTGTCCTGACAACGCCCACTTCACATCAGCCACTCTCGTGAGAGCTGCCAGGCTGCTCTGTTACCTCAGGGTTCCCTGATCAAAGAACTGACTGAAACCCTCCTGTACCTCATGGTCAATTACTGCAGTTCTGGCTGGAACAGCTTTGAAGCAGCAAATCTTGGCAATCAAGCAATATTGTGCTATATCTCCCTTTTTACCTCCTCAAACTGAACCAGAATACAAACTGTTGTTAAATATACAAATTGTTGTTAAACAAGTGCATTTGTAAACTTTGACTTCTTTAGGTGATCATACAATGACTTGTGTTGGAAGGGACTGTAAAAATCTAGTTTCAACTCCTGCAACCATGGACAGAGCTAACACCCGTTAGATCAGGCTACCCAAGGCCTTGGACACCTCCAGGGGTATGGCATCAACAGTGTCTCTGTTCCAGCGCCTCATCTCTCAGAGTGAAAAGTAACCTCCTAATATCTAACACAAATTACCCTCTTTTAGTTTAAAACAGTTCTGCCTTGTCCTATCACTATCAGGCTATGTAAAAAGTCACTCTCCATGTTTTTTTTTTTTTTATATGCACTCTTTAAGCACCAACATTCTGTAGCTTACAAATATAATTAAAACATTATTTAGGAAGAAGTTAAGAACTATTCAGTTTTGTAAAAAAAACTTTACTACCATAAGGTGAATGAGAAAATGCAAATCACTGTGAGCAGAAAACGTTATTCTTAAGTTCATTTTCACCTCGCAAAAAAATATCTACAGTGTATTAAATGAGCAAAAGTACACACATCTGCACACGCTAGCTATTGAAGGCTGCTAGATGCCACTAAATCCCATTAATGCATACTTAGCTGTAGACTAATGTTTCCATTTAAAGCTTATGTAACTATCTCCTACCTGTAAAACATCATTTATAATTATTCTTTTTAGAAGAGAAAATGAAAACAGAAGGGCAAGAAGATCCATAAATTAGTTTGAGAAATTAAAATGGCCTATTATCATCATACACTGGCTAGAAGACTTCAGGATTAGAGTCCTAACTTTGAATTAGAAAACAGATGCTTTGTTGATTCACCTAAGGTAAAGGAGATGTCTCTGTTTCTGACCCCAGAGATACCACAATTTCTACTCTTTGAGAACAGATATTGTTATTTTGGCCAAACAGAGAGGAAAGTTTTCCAAAGTAATCAGATCAGAAGCAAATCACTGGTTTAGTACTTACAGCGGGATGAATTGCCATTAGTAATTAGAACAGATTGATTTGCCACTAGCAATGACTTCACAGAATCACATAAAATTAGAGAATCATAGGGACTGAAAGGGATGTCTGAAAATCATCTAATCCAGTTCCTCTACTAAAGCAGGCTCCCTAGAGTACGCTGCACAAGAAAGTGTCCAGGAAGAAATCTCCAGAGTATCTCCAGTAGAAAGAGGCTTCACAACCTCTCTGGGCAGCCTGTTTCAATGCTACGGCACCCTCAAAGTAGACAAGTTCTTTCTCATGCTCATATGGAACGTCCTGTGATCCAGTTTGTTCCCATTGCCCCTTGTTCTGTCACTGAGCACACTGAAAAGAAGTCGGCCTCATCCACTTGACACCTGCCCTGTAGATATTTATAAGCATTGATAAGATCCCCTCCCAGTCTTCTCTTCTACAGGCTTAACAGTCTCAGGTCTCCGAGCCCTTCCTCCCAGCGGAGATGCTTTAGGACCCTCATGATCTTTGTGGTCTTCAGCTGGACTCTCCATAGAGGTTCCCTGTCATACTTGAACCGGGGAGAAAGAACTGGACATGGTACTCCAGATGTGGCCTCACCAGAAACAGAGTAAAATTATTATTAATTCAACACAAGAAATAACTTTTATTTCCCGTAATTAATTAAAAAAAAATCACATTTATCACTCTGCTATATTATTAAACCTATAGTTGTCTGTCAACAAAGCTTCCTGGTACTCAAAACATTTGATAGAAGAATTCTAAAAACAAAACAAAACAGAAACCCAACAAACTCATAATCTTAATGAATAATTAGAACAGGCAAAAGAGAAATGAGGGGAAAAAATGAGATGATTTTTAACATCAGTACGTCTAATATGTTTATTTGATAGATATTTAAAAATATATGTATATAAACTTGTCATTAGTATTTTCTATCAAAATAACTATAGCTTCTTAACTTTTAGGCATGAGGAAGGAGAATAGCAGACACTAAGTGCTGTAAGATGTAAGATACTGCCAGAATTCTAGAAACATCTACAGATGTAATTTGTATCAGAACTTACTTTCTGCTGTCTGCATTATTATCTCATCAAGATCTTTTTCAAGTTTTTCATAAGTATCTAGTCTTGCCTGAAACTCAGAATTCTGTGTTTGAAGTTCAATAATGCGTGTTTCACTAGAAGACTGAAGACTGTAAAATTCCTTGGTGAGCACCTGTGAGAATGAATAATGAAAATATCACTGAAAACAGCATGACAGCTGTTTATGAAAAAGGTGAAAACCCACATGTAAATTAATCAGCAACAGAATACCAAACAACAATAATGTATCACATTTGATGCAACTTTTGCACAGGTACAGTAAAATAGTTGAAAAAAAAAATTAGTTCTTTTCAGCTATGTTATCTTGCACAGACTACACACTCATGTCTTACAACACTTTATAGAATCATATGACTATTTGAACTTGAAGGGACTCTTAAAGATCATGAAGTCCAATTTCCCTGAAATGAACAGGGGCACCTACAGCACCATCAGTTTGCTCAGAGCTCTGGGCAACGTGTTTCAGTGCTTCAGTCTTACCATAAAAGACTTCTTTCTCATTTCCAATCTAAATCTCCTCTGTTGTATTTTGAAACAATTCCCTCTTGTCCCATCACAACTGACCCTGCTAAAGACTCTGTCCCCTTTCTTACTGCCTCCCCTGTAGATACTGAAAGGCTGTTATCAGGTCTCCCCAGAATTTCTTAATGCCTTTGTCTCAACTTGGAAAAATGGCAGTAATTTTAAAGGGCAGTTACAACAACCAAAGCAATAGTTACAAAAATTAATAGAGAAGTAAAAAAAAAATAAAAAAAAATGACTGTTTCTTTTTTGTTGATTCAATTACATTCATATACCAGTAACCAATTTACTAGATTGGTTCCTTTATGGAATAGTAAATGCACAAATAACAAGATTTGTTATTTAAGTTATATCAGATTCTTATTATTCACTCATCATTGAAAAGTAATACATCATGAGCATTTTCAGTTAACATAAATACTTAATCTACCAACATTTTACAAAAAAGGGACATATTCAAAGTTAAAAGTTAGGAAGTTCTGTACAAACTAAAGCTTAACAAGAAAGCTAAGTGATATGGTGCTTGAAAATAGAAAAATACAACATTGACAAATAGCGTAAAACCAGCTGGAATGAAAATCTTCGTTTAGTGAAGTAGCAATCTATGTACTGTGTACACAGCAGTAATGCTGTATGCAGTCAGAAATACAAAGCTATCCACAGTATTTAGGGAAATAAGCAACACAAATATAAAAACATGGAAAGCATCAATCTGTTGTCACAGAAGGCTACATTTATAGGTCAAATTTTGGCAATATATAAAACAGTTTCATAGTTTAGGATGTTTAAGAGAAACTATGCTGAAATCCAATTAAAAACAGATTTTTTTCATGAAGCAGCTACAGCTCTATAGCTGAGTCCTAAGTTACTGGCGACTACATTAGTCAAAATTGATATGCTGTACAATATTAATATTAATACACTGATTGTGTATTTTAGAAAAGAAATATAAGAAATCAGTCAAACAAATGCAAAAAAAAAATAAAAAAGGATTTCAAGTGTTTAAATTCTGCAGTAATTCTCTGTAACGAGAAAGCATTGGTTTCAAGGCATATCTCTATCAGGAAAAGGAAGTGCCAGGAGAACTAATACAGCTGAACACCACATATTCAAGAGTTTATTCAAATCAAATAAATATCCAAAGAAAATGGAAGCACAACTCAAATGCAACTTCCTTAGTCAAAGTTTAGACATGTCTGTGCAATTAAAATTTATTTAGTAACCTCAAAGTCTAGCACAGCTGGCACTCCCAGTGCTCATGACCACAACTAACCTCATCAGCCAGGATCTGAATGTTCCAATACAGACAGAACAACAAGAAATTACATTTCATCTAAAGCTTTGTTTCCACTCTGTAAGTGTTTCCACTCTATAGCTCCTTTTCATAAACATCCCAGTAATGCAGAATCTCCAACAACAGCATATTTCCCCCCAAAAACAAAGACTGAACTAGCTGAAACTTAGAAAAAAAGAGTTCTTATTCTGTTCTACTAAGTTTGTGTAGCCTACTGTCTGTTTTACACACAGTCAATTTCATTTAAATCTCACAAATTGGATGCAGTGGTATGTTTTCAGGACTAACTTTGCACAGAGGAAGAAATTTTGTTTTGATGTAAGTTTCCTCTGCTGCAGACTGGACATCTTTCCAATACTACAGTGAGTCAAACAGGATATATTACATTTTTTGAAAGTATGCATTTGAAAGAGAATAAATTCTAAGCTTGTTTAGATGGAAAAGTCCAACTCACTGAACTTCATGTAAACAGATGTAGTGAGCGTAAGTATCAAAATGCTGCAGTCTCTTGATTGTGTAAATTTTATCCATAGTGCATATAGCGTATTTGCACACTAGTGAAATTTTATATACATGTCTTAGATTCATGTGGGCTAGAATTGTTTTTTTTAGAGTGTCTGGTACAACACTATCTTTTGGTTCCAGGAGAAAAGCAATGTTGATAACAAATTGATCACAGAATCATCAAGGTTGGAAAAGACCTCATCCAGTCCAACCGTCCACTTATCACTAATAGTTCTCACTAAAACATGTCCCTCAACACAACATCTCAACATTCCTTGAACACCTCCAGGATTGGTGAGTCCACCATCTCCCTGGGCAGCCCATTCTAGTACCTGACCACTCTTTCAGAAAACCAGTATTTCCTAATGTGCAGCCTAAATCTTCCCAGTACAGCTTGCAGCTGTTTCCTCCAGTCCTATTACTAGTTACACAAGAGAAGAGATTGACCCCCAGCTCACTATAACCTCCCGTCACGTAGTTACAGAAAGCAATAAGGTCTGTTTTTGATGCCATTGGCCTTGGCCACACTGAAGGCTCATGTTCAGCCAAGCATCAATCAATATCCTTCAGGTCCATTTCCTCTGCACAGTCTTCCAGCCACTCTGCCACAAGCTTGTAACATTGCTTGGAGATGTTGTGGCCGAAGAGCAGGACCTGTGCACTTGGACTTGTTGAACCTCACCCCATTCACCTCAGCCCAGCGATCCAGCCTATCCAGATCCCTCTGTAGGACCCTGCTGCTACCAAGCAGATCGACACTTCCTGCCAGCTTGATGTAATCTGAAAACTTACTGAAGGCACACTCAATGTCCTCACCCAGTTGATCAATAAACATACTGAAGATACTGGGGACAGGCACCAGTACCGATCCCTGGGGAACACAACTCGTGACTGGTCGCCAGCTGGATTTAACTCCATTCACCACCACTCACTAGGCCCAGTCCTCCAGCCAGCTCCTCACCCAGCACACAGCTTACCCCTCCAAGCCATGGGCTGCAGCTTCTGCAGGAGAATACTGAGGCAGAGACTGTGGGAGGCTTTGCTGAAGTTAAGGCAGATCACATCAACAGCCTTTCCCTCACCATCCAGGCAGGCCACTCCATCGTAGGAGATCAGGTTGGTCAAGCAGGCCCTGTCCTGCACAAATCCATGCTGGCTGGGCTTGATCCCCGGTTGCCTCACACATACTGTGTAATATCACTCAAGATGATCTGCTCCATAACCATTCCTGGCACCAAAGCCACGCTGACAGGTTGTAGGACCCCAGATCCTCCTTGCAGTCCTTTTTGTAGAAAAGTCAGATCGGCAAGTCTTCTGTCTTCTGGGACCTACCCAGCTGACCAGGAATGCTGACACATGATGGAAAGCAGCTTGGCTATCATCGCCACCAGTTCCCTCAGCACTTTTGGATGGATCTCATCTAGCCCCATGGACTTGTGGCAGTCCACATGGAATAGCAGGCCTCTGACTGTTTCCTCCTGAATCACGGGGGATTTATTCCTCTCCCCATCCAAAACTTCCAGGTCAGTGAGTAGAGTACCCTGATGATAACTGGCTTGACTTTTAAGGACAGATATAAATAAGGCATTGAGAATCCTTTTCCCTATCCTCAGTGACCACATTTCCAGATGCATCCAGTAAAGAAAGGAGATTCTCCTTGGTCCTCCTCTTACCGTTAATAAATTCATAGAAGATTTTCTTGTTCCCTTTTACCCCAGCCAAGTTGAGTTCAAGCTGGGCTTTTGCCTAATTTTCTCCCTGCTCATCCTACCAACTTCTTTGTACCCTCTCCAAGTTGCATAGTGCAGAGCCAAGGCCATTTTTAGCAAAGGCCTCAGGGAGCTAGGATGGAACAGAATTAGGACAGCTGACTAAAAATGACCAAAGGGATATGCCATTCCTTATGATATCATGTAGAAGCAGTTCTGAAAGAGGTGGGAGTTAATATCTCTCTCTTCCACTGCTCAGGTGACTAGCATGGGACTGATCAGGTACGGTTAGCAATTGCTTGTGCATCTCTTGTCATATATGCTCACATAAATATATAAATGGTAATAACTATTGCCTTTCTCCTTTTCTCTATCCTTAGTAAACAGTTTTATCTCAACCCCTGAATTCCACTTGTACTTCCAGATTCTTTCCACCATCCCACTGGGAAGGGCGGAAATGAGCAATGGACTGTGTGGTGCTTAACCACCTGCCAGGTTAAACCACAACACTATGTTATTGAAGTTAGGCTCTTGAATTTGTGATGTATTTTCAAGTGCTGACACAATACATTGGTGTTTCTGAGATATGTTTTCTTTTTTTCCCTTAATATCATTTATTTTACCTAATATATTCTATTCTTTTAGGTATTGGAGGGCCACTATAACGTTCCCCGGAGCCTTCTCTTCTCCAGACTGAACAGCCTCAGCTCTCTCAGCTTCTTTCATAGTAGAGGTGCTTCAGCCCTCTGAACATCATTGTTGAAAGTGTCACCACCCTCTGTGTGAAAAACTTTCTCCTAATATCTAACCTAAACCTCCAATGTCTCAGTTTAAAGCCATTCCCTCTTGTCCTGTCACTATCCACCCATGTAAACAGTCATTCCCTCTCCTGTTTATATGCTCCCTTTAAGTACTGGAAGGCCACAAATGAGGTCCCCTCAGAGCCTTCTCCTCTCGAAGCTAAACAAGTCCAGTTCCCTCAATCTTTCCTCAAAGGAGAGGTGTGCCAGCTCTCTGATAATCTTAGTGGCCCTCCTCTGGACCCACTCCAAGAGCTCCACATCCTGCACTGGGGAACCCTGGCCTGGATGCAGTACTCCAGATGGGGCCTCACAAGAGCTGGCTGGGGGGGGGGGGGGGACAGGGACACAACAGACACAATCACTCCCTGGCCACCCCTTTTTTAAGGCAGCCCAGGATTGTGAGAATCCTTCTTTGTTTTTTGGCTCAAAGCTTGCTTCCTGAGGTATTTCTTGTGATAAGATTGACTCATCAAGGAGATGAGCGATGGGTGTTGCCATGTGGCAATCAACATAGCTGTGTGGACAATTTTACATTTAAAAGCATTTCTTTGGAGCTGTGTGCCTTTGGAAGATAGTGCTCAGGACTGTTTACTGGCAGAAGATCTAGCCTGTGACCAAATAACTCCAGCTTGCTATGGGAGACTGGGGGTTGATGCCACTGTATCCTGTGAAGGCAAGATATAAGTTGGTGCCTCCCTGCTCCTTCTTACCTGCTGGCAAGGCCCAGAAGATGCGAACAAAGAAGTTTCCTGCTGAGATCCCAGAGTCAGAATCTGCCACTCCAAGTAGAGCTGACTCAACCACTTTGGACTTATTATAAATAAGTTTGTACTACCATTGAAAAGTTGCCATCATTGCCGTGGTCACCATCATCATCAACAGAACAACAATGTCTGACAGCCCACCACTACTGAAGATCAATGACTGAACTATGTACCACGCTGGATTCATGGTGGTAACTATCTCCCTCTTGCTTCCTATAAAGACTCCTTGCTTCCTTTTTCCTATCTTTTCTATCACCCTCCCTCCCTTCCCCATTACCCTAATTCATAGTAGTGTCCATCCTCCCCTTCTCCATCTCCATGATTAATAACTGTAATAAACTAGTCAGACCAACATTTGAACTGCTGTTTCTTAATCTCACACCAAGTATACAGATACTAAAAGAACCTCCACTCCCTCCTATAAATTGGAGCAAGACAAGGATGTAGTTGGCCAGCTGGACTGCAAGTGCACACTGCTGGCTCATGTCCAGCTTCTCTTCCACTAGGACCCCCAAGTCCTTCTCCACAGGACTGCTTTCAAGGGCTTCTTCCCCTAGTTTGTATAAATACATGGAGTTGCCCCAACCCAGGTGCAGCACTCTGCATTTGGCCTTGCTGAATCTCAGTAGGTTCACATGGGCCCACTTCTCCAGCCTGTCCAGGTCCCTCTGGATGGCTTCCCTTCCTTCCAGTTATTGACTGCACCACTCAGCTTGGTGTCATCCGCAAACCTGTGAGGGTACACTTGATGCAATTGTCTGTGTTATTAATGAAGATGTTGAAGAGCACCAATCTCAAGACAGAGCCCCGAGGGACACCTCCATCCTGACAAAGAACCATTGGCTGCGTCCAAGTCCTAATCCATCGAACAGTCCATCCTTCAAATCCACACCTCTCCAATTTAGAGTGAAGGATGTGGCAAGGGACCATGTCAAAGGCTTTGCAGAAGTCCAGGTAGATGACATCCATTGCCCTTCCACCATCCATGGTGCCATTACTCCATCATAGAAGGCCACCAGATCAGTCAGGCAAGATCTGCCCTTGGTGAAGCCAAGCTGGCTGTCTCAAATCACCTTTTCACCTCATATGTGCCTTAACATGGTAACCAGGAGGATCTACTTCATGATCTTCCCAGGTACAGAGGTGAGGCTCACCAGCCTGTAGTTCCTTGGGTCTTCCTTTCTCCCTTTTTTAAAAATGGGAGTAATGTTTCCCTTTTTCCAGTCACCAGGGACTTCACCAGCCAGCCATGATTTTTCAAATATGGAGAGTGGCTCGGCAACCACATCAGCCATCTCTCTCAGAACCCTGGGATGGATATCACCTGGCCGCATGGACTTATATACATTCAGTTTCATGATGAAGTCTTGATCTTGCTCCATTGTTACAGTGGGACAGAATCTGTTCCACTTCCTCTTGGTGTATGGATAACCTCTAATAAGATAACGGCTCTTGTCATAAGCTAAGAGTAGCCATAGCAGGATAGTGCTTAAGGCTGTCCACTTCCAACTGTTTTTCTGTGATCCTTTGTGAAGGTAAAATTTTTAGTCATGTAACAGTACCGAGTGTGTCCTGAACGAAGTAAAAGAAATAGCTCTTCTACAGAAAAAAAAAAAAAAATTCATTTTTTCCACTTAATTTTAGAAGGAATGAGTTAAATAAAAAAGGGTTTTAATTGCCACCTATTAATGAATGCAGAGCTGTTCAAGAGAGCTAGCAAGCTATTACCCTTGTGTGTAAGGGAACTCAAAACAGCTTATTTTTCATCTTACACAAATAGATTCTGAAGGATCTGCCAGAGATCAAATATCCATATCTAATTATGACAAACTGGATTCCTCTGGATACATCTCCTACAAAAGAGTCTGAACGAACTTCTTCTAGCAATACCTCTATAATAAAAGGACAGTAATAGAAGTTCTACTAAATCAGTTTGGTTTACTCTAGTGTTATTAAATAATGTAATAGACTTTTTAAAGTTCTCTATGCTTCCAAGAAACATCTATGCTTTTAAGAAGTCTATATACTTTCAAGAGAATTTCACCATATCACCATTTTTTTTTTTGCTCTAAAATTGTTCTACTTACTACTGGTATTGAAGTTCTAATATATACTTGAAAGAATAAAATAGAAAGACATTTTCCTATACATTATCTGTTTAGCTTCCTCAAATGGAATTAATAAGCAGTTTTATACAAGCCAGATTAAAAGACAAAGGATTTATCAGTAAGGATGCATAATAAGGACCTATCCTTACCAAGTGAAGTATCTAATGCTAACGTATGACATGCAGAGATAGTTTCTATGATGGATACTGTTAACCTAACACACACGTTTTAAACATCTCACCATAAGAAAATGTTTTGCTTTCTTCTTTCCTTAGTTTTCCCTGAAACAGTATAGCTTGGTAAGCTTTTTCAAAATGTTCTGCTTCAGCACTGTTCGGTGGAAATACTAACTCAACCATGTACGTCTTTTGGTGATGTCATCTTTTCCTTCTCCCCCTCTCCCCCCTCCCTCCCCCAAGTTTCTTCATTTTGAATTATAATTGAAAACAACTTTGTAATGCCTCATTAAGTATTAATAACATACCTCCAACTTTCTCTGATATTTCTCACATTCTATTTGGCACTGTGAAAGATTCTTAGCTGTTTCTTGTTGCATGAGTTGAATATGTTCACTTTCAAAGGACTTTAACTTACTTTGGTGAAGAAGTTCAGATACTTTGCTTTCTGTGCCAAGCTGCATTTGTCTATACCTAAAAACAAACAAACAAACAAACAAAACAAAAAAAAAAAAATTTTTTTTTGAATCTTCAAAACATCTGCTTGTTCTGTTTTGAAATTTATACCCGAAATGAAATTGAGAGTATTTTTAAGAGTTTGGTAAATACAAGTTAGTTATCTATTTATAGTTGCCTATCTAAGTACCATTGGATAGATGACTATAGAACACAGCAGGTAGAAAACTCAGTCCATGGCTTTGCTAAATTTGTGGATTGGTAATGCAAAAATCAAATGACAGTGACCTTAGTTTTTAAAAATATTACATCAACATGAATTTTCTTTTCAGTATAGATGTGTATACACTCCATGCCTCTAACAATGAAATCTTTAAAAGACACAGGAGAGATACCAAGGAGGCTATTGCCTCTTCTCCACCAACTGTAATACATGATCCAGAGAATTAGTGTTAGACACCAACGGAATCAAGGCTGCATTCCCTTAGGTTTATCTTGGATATGTGCTACACTAATTCTTCCCATAACCGAAGACATAAAGAAACCAGACCATGACAGTTTATTATTTCCACAGTCAACCTCAGGTTGAAGATTATCTACAAGGAATTAAGCTATCAAATAGTATTCCACTTAGAAGCAGGTATCTGTTGTTCCACTCCTAATGCTTAATAGGCAATCTCAAAAAGGTTTCTAATGGAATACTAAATTACTGGACTGTAAAAATGAAGCTGATGTGAATAACAGTAGAAAACCTTAAGAAGCTGGGTGTTAAATCATATGAAATTTAAAGGAGATACGTAGAAAGTAACGAATAAAAATTTTCTTAACCATATACATAAAATTACCAACTCCTACTTAACTTTTAATTTGGAAATGAGATCTTGGGTTATACTGGACAAATCTATTATATCTTTAATTCAGTTTTAAACAGTGGTAAAAAATAACATTTGGGGAATGGCTGTGAAAAGAATAGAGAACATACAGAAATGATCATGTCACTTTACAATTCCACACTGCTACCTGCATAATGAATACTGAACACATTGCTAGTAACTAACCTCACAAAGAATATACTAGAACATGTAAACATGTTCTTTACATGTAAACTACATGTAAATGTAGTTTGAGAAGGGCATTAAAGATATTTGACAATTGGCAACATTGTGCTATAATATAGTTATAGAAATAGGTTAATTAAGCAAACCAGAATGCTAAAGAGATGGTATAAGAAAATGGGAGTTATAAGAGGCCTGAAACAGCCTAAGTGGCATCGAGAATGGGATTGAGAATCCCATTTTTTTTTACCATATTTTCCGATAGATGAATGAGGAGGTGTGTAATAAAACTAGCAGCTGTGGAATGAAAAGCAAATATAATTCTTCACAGACTATCATGAAATACGTGAAATTCCTTGTATAAGATGTTCTGAATACTCAACACTTACTCAGGACGAAATCGAACAAACTCTCAGAAGATAAATCCTTTGACAACCATTAAATGTAAGATGGTACTTCTCACACAAATCACTGAAATTGTTAGAATGCTAGATAAACCTTCACTCTAACCCATTACTGCTCTTAACTGCCATTTGTCAAGTAGCAGTTGCAACACATTTCTACTCTATTTAGTATCTAATCTTTAGGTAAGATTGAGAGCATTTGAAAAAAAAAAAAAAAAAAAAAAAGGGATTAGTCAGATATTTACCCTGAGGATTTCAGATGTAGGAATGTTTCTAAGATACAAAAAGGAAGCAATTTTCACTGAAATAAACAGAAAAAACAGGTGACACTATGATGTCCTCTGTAAACATTTGTGTATGCATAAACAGTCCAATGCATGAATGAGATTGTTCCCATACAGACTGCATGAGGAAAGAGTGGAAATTTTGCCCACAAACTCATGAAGACATCATCACTCTTTCTAAAAACAACTTTCTTGTTCAATAGCAACATGACATTTCCTCTCATACAAAACTGCTAAATGCCCATTATCTATCTGATATCAACTGCTGTCAATTTTGCTTGAGGCTGATACTTTAAGCATTTCATCATTGCTCTGACTGTATGTTCCCATTTTCATTTTACCACACAAAAATAGTTTCAGCATGCTTACATTCTGTATACTTTGTACGTGATTGGCTGCAGACAGGACAGTCAATCTTTCCTGCTAAGCACGTTGTTTACAACCCTGGGAAGAATATTTCATTCCAAAATGAGCATGTCTTCACAAAGATACATGTCATCTAACCATCTGCAATGCAATGCATAAATGAAATTTATCTACAAGTGACATTCATTGACTTTAAACAACATTATGCCTTCACAGAAAATAAGTAGCTGTCCTTTCCAGAAGACTGCTTCAGATCTTAAAATAGTCTGAGGCTTAATGATCTGTAGAGAGCATACACACTGGAAACATGCATAAACAGAAGTTATATATACTTTCCTATACCTTACAAAACTTTCCAGAAAAGTGTACTAGATCTGACAATTTTCAAGTCCACTCAATCAACTAGGTGCTTCCAGACCATGCTTACCAGCAAAATCACAAATGGTGACTTTAGGAAAAAGAAAATTTTCTTTAGAAATTCTAAGTAATTTACATTGGCATAGTATGGTTTGTACTGGTAAGGTTATGAAGAACCTCGTGTGCTTTCCATTGGCAATGATTTTTGAGAAACAGACAGGGCACAGCTTATGAGTAATGATAAGTAACAACTTCATATGCTCTTTTGTCAACAAATAATAACATCTATTTTCATGTGTAGTATGGAAAATTACACTCCCATTAATGACAGAAAAGCCCTTTTCTCAGAGCTGGTAAAGGAGAAACTGTTGTCCAACCAAGAATATTTTCTAGTACGCCTCAAATAAGATTTTCTTACTACACCTTTGAGCTCACCAGTGAGCTCTCCATTGCAGCAAAGCTTTCAGAGTTTCTTCGGCATGTGAGTTTTTATTTGGCTAAATAGCACATCTGACTTCTTGGCTATTATTTCAGCAGAAGTCTAGGAGCACACATACACATACAGTCATGAAACACAATGTCAGAACACATTCCTTAATCCACCTGGATGGTCTCCAGGAAAAACAACAGAAAACAAATCCACCCTATGCTTGAATATCACTACTATTGTGGGTGTACAGGATTTTTCCCCATAAAAAAATTTAATAAAACTGATACGGTATAGTTTTTGTTTCATAAAAGAATATGGATTGAGAATTACAGAGTAATTACAGTGTGAGTTAATGAAAAGAACAAACATGCAAGAATCATCTGAAATGAAGTCTCGACTTCATTATTTTTCTGCACCATCAAGATGACCAACCAATAATGCTGGAAGTTCACTAAAGTGGAGTGACACAAAAGTTATTAATTTTAGAGTAAAGTAGAATGTTTAATATTGTTTAAGTAGGGACTTAAACAATAGTTCCTAAGCAAAGATATAATATTAAAATTATCACAAAATGGACTTCAATGTAAGGAGTGAGAAAAAGTACACTTCTCTAAATAGTGTGCATCTAAAGAAAGCCAACTGAAAGCAGAGATTACCAACTGCTCTTTCATTGGGGTAAACTACCAGGCATATCCAGCACAGCCCAATCTAATAGTCATATTCAAAAGCTTTTACAGTCTGTGCATGTAACTTTACAAACTTCTTACAAGCATTGTGTATGTACTGAGATAGCACTGTTTATACCTGACAGAAATAGACTGTTAACTTCTACCACTGTATATTCCATAGACAAAATCTGAATTTACATCAGTACTCTTCAAAAGCAGGTATAACTGAATAATGAAGTACATAGGAAGACAATGAGATCTGTGAAATTAAGCATTCAAATAGTAAATTGTAGTGGTAAGATCATTATAAAAGGGAATGACAAGCAAGTAAATTCTATGAAATACATCTCCCAAATGAAGTCCACTTGGATTATACAAAGATGAGTACCAACCCTTTCTAACTTTGTGAACATGATTATAGAAATCTAAGGTTCTTTAGGATACAGTTGAAATGTTATTTTCAAGTTAAAAAAATGAAGAAAAAAATCAGTGACTTGTAAGTTGCGAAATGCTCCTCACTCCACAGAAGGGTCAGTTCCAGGTCTAAGATCTTCAGAGTAATTACAATATACTCTTTTTTTTCTTTTAAAAAAAATGTATATGCTTTGGTTCAGTGCCAAATCTGCAAAGAAACCTAAATGCTACAGACATTTTCTCCCTAACCTCTCCTATTGCAATCCTGTTCCTTCCAGTCCCAACATGTATTCTAATGTCCCTATCCTTCTCTCACCCTGTTGCAGCTCCAACTCAGATTTCTCATCATTTCCAATTCTGCATTCATTCTTTCTGCTTGAGGTATGTTTTTTCTCTTCATATTTGTTCCAGCCTATTCAGTTCTCATTCCTGTCTTTTAGTCCTATTCTCCAACTGTTGGTCATCTTTTTATTCCTCTATCGCTCTCATGGTTCACAAAAATCAGGGAATCGCAGAATGATTTAGGCTGGAAGGGATCAACAAAGATCGAGTCCAATTCCTCTGTGTCACGAGCAGGGATATCTTCACAGCATCAAAGCTGGTGAGGGGTCTGGAGAACAGGCCTTACAAGGAGCAGCTGAGGGAAGCAGGATTGTTTTGTCTGAAGAAGCAGCAGCTGAAGAGAGACCTTACTGAACTCTACAACTCCCTGAAAGCAGGTTGTGATGAGGCAGTGGATGGCCTCTGCTCCTGCATAAGCAGAGACAGGACAGGAGGGACTGGCCCCTAGTTGCACCACAGTAGATTCAGGTTGGATATTAGGAAGAATTTCTTCTCTGAAAGAGTCATCAGGCACTGGAATGGGCTACCAAGGGATGTGGTTGAGTCACTGTCCCTGGAGCTGTTCAAGAAATGTTTAGATGTTTAGTAAGGGACATGGTTTAATGGGGAAATATTGGTGATAGATGAATGGTTGGACTGGATGATTCTGGAGGTATTTCCCAACCTTGGTGATTCTATTATTCTATCTTCCACTAGAC